ACATGCATGTTTTTGGTGTGTGGGAAGAAACTGGAGTTCCTGGAGAAAACCCACACTTGCACGGAGAGAACATGCAAACTCCACCCAGACAGGTCCGCCAGCCAGAATTCAATCCGGTGACCTTCTTACTGAGAGGCAACAGCTCTACAAACTGAGCCACCGTGCTGCCTTGTTTTAAAATGATTCCTAAAATCAAGTCCTATATTTGTAGTTTTATTTAGTTCTGTCTTTAGGCGGCTGTGATAGCTTTATTTGTATTTTTTTAATTTTTGTTGTCAAATTGACTCTTCATTTTTATTTTAAGCATTTTTTTCTTAAAGATATTACAAAACAAACAAAAAAATCTGGTGGACTGGAAGTCTGGCAGTCAGCTAAAGGAAGTGGCTAACAAACTGCTAGCATGATGCAATCAACATGTTTTACTCCGTACAATCATTCACCACAAAAAATGATATGACAACTGCTAAAACTAGAAATAGCTTTGGATGTTATCAGCCCATTAAATGTCTATCAGTTGTTATCATCCCCAAAGGTTGCCTTCAGACTGTCCCTCCTGTACCTCCTAGTAGTTTTAAAAGTACGTTGTTATCGCTGATAATATGCAGCTCCACACGTGTAAAATCGGAAGCTTTTTTATTGTTGTTGTTCGCTTTATTTAACCCTGTTCCTAAACCTAACCTTACACCTGACCCATAGCACTGATCCTAAACCTAACCCCCAGATCCTTTACTCTTAGCCTAACCATGTGACCCTATTATCAGCAATAAGAATGTACCTTTAAACCTACTAGGAGGTACAGGAGGGGCAGTCTGAACACAACCTATGGGGATGATAACAACTAATAACGGATATTATATGGGTGATAACATTTGAAGCAGATGAAAACTAGCCCTTTTTGTTGTTTGTATAACAACCAATAAAATTCAGTTTTATGTTAGTTTGGGTCAAAGCTTGAAAGAGCCGCTACAGAAGGACCAAAGAGCTGCATGTGGCTCCAGAGCAGCACCCAGTATAGACAGTGACATAAATACAAAGTATAGATACGTACCCGATATATGTAAACTTTTTTTAGCCACTTCAGCATGAACCTCCATCATTCTAACATTTTAAATATGACAGAAAATAATGAGCATTGCTTTTATACGAGTGCTTAAGAGTTTTACATGATAAACACACAGAACGGATCATTTATTCGTGTTATATTTCTCAAAAGCTGATTATTCATATGTATTCTTAATTTGTCTTTTTGTGTGTGTGTGTGTGTGTGTGTGTGTGCGTGCGTGTGCGCGTGTGCGCGTGTGCGTGTGTGTGCACTTATTGATTTGTCTGTCAGCAAAATATTCCATGAACCACCTGACAGATTTAATGAAATTAACTTTTGAAGACGAGTCGATTTAAGATGGCCACCACAGTTAATAAAGATCAGCAAAGACTAAAACGTCTGTAACTCTGTCTGTTTACAAATATTGAGCTAATCTCTGGTATGTTGGATGCAGAGAGTTATCCTCACAAAATACCGTCCTAACAGATCTACGAAGATCTTTGTTTAAAACTTTGGCATGAAGGCGGCAGACAATTTGCATTTCTTCATTTTAAGTGTGCTGTGCCCAAATTTGTGAATAAGCAAAAAATATGCAAACATCTAAGAATAAATACACCTTATCAACAACACCTTAATAATAACATACCGACATGAACTTAGAACATTTTCAGAAAAAAACAAGCCATCGATTTCAGTCAGAGGACATCAATTAAAATAACTTTCTCAGCTCCGTGTGGCCAGTCTGAAAATAAACAGCACGAGTTTCTCGCCTCAGCATCCAACTGCCTAAAAGTTTAAAATTATACTTGTTTTTTATGGTTTAAATAAAGAAGGCTACTTCTTCATGTGATGTACCACTAATGTGGGTTTTTGAAAACTGTTTTTCTGTTTCTTGATGAACTCAACAATGTTTTCAAGTTCAAGTTACTTTATTGTTATTCGCATCACGTGGTACATGAGGTGGAATGAAATTATGTACTAAGGGTCCTAGTTGCACCCAAAAATAGCAAAAATATAAAATATATAAAAAAAAACAGTATACAGTAGTCCCTCGCTACTTTGCGGTTTGTTTATCACAGACTCGCTTTATTGCGGTTTTTCAAAATAAGATTGGACATGACACACAATTGGCTGATTGATGGATGAGTATCACGATCGGCATGGATTTTTTATTTAAAACAAATTATTTAAAATTATTTAGCACCTCCTGCACCTTTGTGCAGCCCATGCTGCAGGATAAACTTCCTGCTTCCGCTGATCTCCAGAGCTGAGAAGTGGGCGTGGCCAAGAGCACTTGCAGGTAGCTGAGAGCAGTGGAGGCAGAGGGAGGGAAATCATGACATTCTGTGCTCTTTAATAGCGTTTAGAGTTTAGAAACATTGTTTAGAATATTGCAATAGTGTGAGAAGGGTTTAAAACGCCTTTATACTAGGAATGCGCGATATATACGGTGCACGGTAGAAACTATAGAAATTTAGCCTATGATAGAGATCTGTCTTCTACCGGCTAACTGCAATAATGCTGTGTCTGATGTAAAATCAGAGTTGCCAGTTTAATCGTTACTTTTTTAGTTGAAAACTATGCATAAGTGGTGTTAAAGTCTTTTTTTCGAGAGCTAAGTAACAAAGCTACAATCTAACTACAGCCAGTTTGCCGTAGTGTTGCTGTATTTGGACGCATGCGCAAAACGCTGTGTTCCGTCGAAAGTTTTGTTTTGTTTTTCTTCCGTCGAAAGTTGAAAGTAAGTGTTGGTTATCTTTAGAGAAAACTGCTCTCTGCTCTGTGAAAAGAACGCTGTGTTGTGTGATTTTACTGCGAGACCCTCTGGTCAAAGCCACAGATTCATTTTGTGTCGGCTCTCCTTAAAGCAGAAGGAGGCGCCCACTAGAGGTTTGGAGGGTGAAGTGTTTCAGTGTAAAATGCTGCTCTGTTGCTGTTCATTTCTTAAGTGAGAAGACTGGAAACTGTTAAGAGTTAACAACATATTCTTTTGTTTAAAACATATGGCTAAAACTACATTTTATATCTTTTGCACTGTTTTGCACTACAAGAAAGAAGCCCAATACTTGATTTGTTTATTATTTAAAAACTCTCTGGACCTAGTAGTGGAATTTTCTTAATTCAAAATAAATGATGGCAAAAGGACGCCCTATGCTTTTTTCATTCCTATTGCAAGTTTTATACCAAAAACATATTGTGATATATATCGTTATCGCCACCCTTCACAATAC